TTCTTCCCTTTCTAACCGCAATGCATTTTTGGTCTACAACGTTCTGTTCTGAAAAGGTGCATTCTTAGTAAACATTTGTATAAGCTTTGTGTAGCTTTTGCCTCCATCCTTTTTCTAGGTCTTCACAGTCATTGAGATTATAGAACAGGTGCAAAATCACTTTATCTTCTTTTGGCCATTTATTTTGCCCTACTGTTTTATTATATATTTCTTGTCCTTGTTGTGAAATGGCATTCTTTCGAGTTCCTGGTACTGAAGGCAAACTCTAGCTTAGATCTTGGTTGAGCACAAAGTCCTGGGTGGGTGCGTGGGGGTTAAGGGTGTAAAGGTTGCTCATATCTGAGCTTGCCTGATGGCACTGGTCTTCATAAATAGCATTTAATGTGTTCTTGCTCAATGACAATATGTGCTTTACAGGGAGAAAGCAGCTGACTTTGCATCTGTGGTCTGTCTCCAAGGTGTCGAATGTGGCCTCTGCTTATCCAGAGAACAGCCAAGACAGTATAGAATATTTTTTTTGAGACTTAAACTCATACGCAAATACACATAAGCAGGTTGTTATTATCTACAGCCAAGTATGTGACTGGCCACTCTTAACCTGAGGATAGAGACACCACTGGCTACTGTCCCCTTTGAGTCAGTGCCAATGGTTTTTATTGGGGTTTCACTTCCTTTAGCTTTTAGGAACCTGACCCCTACCTGCAAGGCAGTGAGGGGAAAAGTTAGTTCATTGCAGTGACTCCTTGCTATGTCTTTGGGCCTGTTTGGTTTTTAATGGGTGCAGGCCTGCCATGGACAGCATTCCCATAACCTGCTAGTACTGATGTCTTGGTCTGGGACAGCTCAAGAGTTCTACGTATCGGCAAGTTACTCACCTGTAATTGTAGTTCTTCAAGTGGACCTCTGTGATTCACACTGTGGGTGATCTGCACCTGCGCGGAGCCTCTTCAGAATATTCTAGAGCAGGGGTGTCCAACCTTTCACCTTCCCTGGGCCACATAAGATGAAAATTTGGTTTGGGCCGCACATACATTTTGTTTGGGCCGCATGGGGGGACAGCCCTAGCCGTCCTCCGCAGCCCCGCTCCAAGCGCGCTTACTGGCAGCTGCGATCTCAGACAGCAGAGGCTGCCAGCTTCGACTCTGATGGCTTTATGGGGCCGGGATGGTGTCCACCTATTGACAGGGACAGCGCAATGCAGTCACGGAGCCCCCCTGTACCCTCCTCTCCCACTCCTTCCTTCCCTCTCTCCCCCTCTACTGTTGTGACATGCCCTGGCCACATTCTGGCCACAAGCACCGGCAGTGTAACTTGAAACTTTGGAATTTCTTTAAAAATAAAAAATTGCACTGGGCCGCATTACAAGCTCGGGCCGCGGGTTGGACAAGCCTGTTCTAGAGCTTCTGTGGTAGCAAAAAACCACATTAGAATTGACCCCTCCCCCTCGGTATAAGTACCTTGGCACCAGGACTCTCCCTTCAGTTGTGTCAACCGCCGCAAGGAGAAAAATATTTTATGGCGTGACAGAGGGGAGGTCGGCTGGGATGTGTGAATCACAAAGGTCCACTCGAAGAACTACAATTACAGGTGAGCAACCTGCCATTCTTCTTCGTGGCCTCTGTGAATCACACTGTGGGTGACTAGCAAGCTGTCTTACCTGGAGACAGGGTGTCATACCAAGGCGGAAGCCAAAACAAAACGTCCAAATGCCGCATCAGACTTCTGTCAAACATCTAGTCTATAATGTCAGATGAAGATAGGTGGGTTGTGCCCACGTAGATGAGGCACAGATGTTGGGGACAGGCACACCACATAGGAATGCTGTAGAGGTTGCCAATGCCCTGGTGGAATGAGGGTGAATAGCTTGAGGGACCAGCTGTTGAGCAAGCTGGTATGTAAGCCAAATAGTATAGGCAATCCAGCGAGAGATCGTTTGGGAGGTGACTTGTAGGGCCTTGTTAGGAAGTTGATGACTGACAAAGAGGCACGGGGAATGTCAAAAGGGTTGTGTTCATGACAAATAAAAGAAGATCCTCCTGATGCCCAAAATAGGAAGAAGTCGTTCATGGATTGTGGATGGTGATGGAAAGAAAGATGGGAGAACCAATGGTTGAGAGAAATGAAATTGAGACACTACTTTAGGGACAAAGGAGACATCGAGGAACACCTTTACTTTATCAGGATAGAATTGTATATAAGGATAGTCACAGCATAGGGCCGCAAGGTCGCTTGCTCGGTGAGCTGAAGTAATTCCAATGAGAAAGACCATTTTGAAGGAAAGTAGACGGAGATCCACTGAGGCTAGTGGTTTGAATTAAAGTTTAGTGAGCTGTCGCAAGACTAAGGTCAAGAACCATTGTGGAGAGGGCAGGTGAATGTCTGGGTAAGCGTGTCACAATCCCTTAAGAAAGCACTTGAGCATGGGATGTCTGAAAAATCGAGCCGCTGGAGAGGTTGATGGTTGGTATGAGACGACTACCAAGACAGACCCTAATAGATGAGAGAGAAAGACCAGAAGATTTGAGATGGACCAAATATCGGAGAACCAAGGAGAGAGACGGGTTGATGGCAGGGAAAGAGCTGTAGTAAAAGTAATATTGATAGTGGTGTGTCACTGAAGAGTGAGTCTGGCATGTCTGTTGACAGTTGTTGACCGGTATCAATGTTGAAGGTGCGTCCATGGATGGAGGTAAACAAGATGGGATCTTGGTGTTGAAGTCTTCATCTCAATATTGACGGACTGTATGTCTAGGTTGGTGCTGTTGTTGAGGGCTAGCAACCGAGACTGAAGTGGGCCATCCATGGACCAGGATGGATATCGAGTGTCATCGATATTGGAACCAGTGTCTCTATGGTGTTGAAAAGGTGGCCGAGATCGATCCGGTGGATGCATAGGTAGGTCTGTAGAGTAAACTGAGGCTGGGGATGCCAAGCAAGAGGAATAATTTCCATCATTTTGAGCTGGAACATATGTAGTCACAGGGGCTGCAAATGCTTCACGGGTGGAAGTGTGTTTCTCGCCTGCCCTGATATTCGCCGGTGGCTGATGAAGAGTCATGTGACGGCTGCGTGCCTCTGAGTGATAAGACCTCTTTGACATGGAAGGTTGCCGAGATGGAGGTTTTTGACACAACGCTAATACCGGACTGGACGAGGCAGCTGGTCGAGCATCCTCAGCCAGCAGGTTAGAGAAGCACTGATCGGGGCAAATGTCTACCCAACAAAGGTGTTGTGCATGGGATTGATTGACACACACTTATGGAATTGCTTCATATGTTGGATGTGCTTGATAGCACGCTGGTGGCCGTGGAGGCTGGCCCAATGGCATAGAATAGGGCACTGTGTCTGGCTGAAGCTCAGGTTCCTCTCTCTCTGGGGAGGCGTCAGTGGACGGATTAGGAAGAGAGATAGAATGCTGGGGACTATTAGGCAAGGAAGTAAGATGGTCTACTCGCTCGTCCCATGTCAGTGACTAAGAATTGATGAGATGGGAGTCCTTCATTATCAGAGGGTGAACCTACAGAAATTAAATCGCTGCGTTCGGAAACCTGCTGTGGAGGGACTGCCAAGGTCTTAGATCTGGTTTGTTTAGATTGTTTCGGTTGTGGGGGACCGGGAACCAGATCATGAGGAGGCTTTTGCGTTTTGGAAGGCTTCTATGTTAAAGTTTTCGATGTCGGCTGTTTAGATCTGTGTGTATTAGAAGTTTTAGAAGGTGCATCAGAGTGAGATGGAGTAGCGGAGGAACGATGTTTTGATGATTCTGCAATGGCTTTTTCCATGGCTTTGGTTTGTGAGGTGGCTTTACATGTAGTTTGAGCCATAGGTTTTGCCGAGTGCACAGTGTGATTCACAGAGGCCACAAAGAACTACAGTACCATTGCTGTTAGCCTACATATCCATAGACCATTCTGCTACCTATAGACCTCCCCAGTACCTGGGTAATGGTACTGGTTGTTATATTAAAAAAATTATACTTTGACATTTCCTTTGGTCCACACAAGGACTCACAGGGTGGCTTCCATGTCAAGAACACTAAAAATATAATAAAATGCAAGAGAAGGATATAAGAGAACTAAATCTGTTTTAAAATACATTGTCATGAAAGAAGGCTAAAAAACTTTAAAGACATGGCAGAATAAAAATCCAAAAATTGCACAGAGAGGGAACCCTTCTTGGTAGTTGTACTCTCTCCTAAGAAGACAGTCCAACTACCAAGAAGGCCTGACCTCATGCCATCACCAAAGGCACCTCTAAGGATGATGGAAGAAACAACAGGGGCTTCCTTTTGAAAGGAAGAGACTCTTCACATCAACATGAACTACTGCAATAGGGAAGCAGACTAGTATTCAGAGATTCTATCGGTCAGCTTAAATCAACCAGTGTTAGTATGCCCTCCTCCTTGCATGCTCATTTAAATGGACTACAAGGATATCTGAATAGTGGTTTTATTGAATTCACATTCCTTGTCTTTTCTCACATCTGAACGACTGACATTCTTCTCCAAACCTCCTCAGCAAACCCTTTTCACTACCAACAGGAGTATGGCAGGTGGAACCAAAGGAAGAGCAATGTGTCCTGCCTGCAAATTTTCTACCTTTGGACTAAAGAGCCAGAGGTCTCAGTATCCCATTATCCCCTTTTCCAAAGAAGAGATATAGCTCAATGATAGTACCCACACTTCCCATGAAGAAGGTCTCAAGCTCAATACCTGTCTTCTCCACACTGGAGAGCTCCTGTGTGTCAACAACATTTGGCTAAACAGACCAGTAGTTCGACTTGCTACAAAGCAGCTTCCTACTTTACTTGTACAAACACCTATAACTTTGACTCACCTATACACTGTCAGATATTCCAAACCATTGTGTTCTTACTTAGCTGCTTACAGCTAAATCAAAGTTTGGCACCACTTTAATTTAGCTGTAGGCCAAACAGTCTGGAAGAGGCAGGAAGGAACAGGAACATAATGAACAGTAAGTTGACTGAACTGGAAAGGATACATCTAATTCACTCTGTAAATTAAAAAAACAAACAAAAACAGTTTCAGAAAGAGCGTAAGGTTCATATTATTTCATGTATGACCATTATTTACTAAACTGTATCCTTATACAGTTGTTATCAATGCTACTAACATGAATTTGACCCAACTCCGGGAGACAGTGGAAGACAGGAGGGCCTGGCTTGCTCTGGTCCACGGGGTCACAAAGAGTCGGACACAACTTAACGACTAAACAACAATCTATATACAATGTTTTTGGCCTGAGCAATCACCACAAAGCTTAGACTATTTTTTTAAAAAAGCCTCCCCAGATGTTTGCAGATGTTTGCAGGTCAGTGTTCTGATGTAAAGCTAAATTCCTTCGAGCAACATGGTGAACTAGCTGTTTTCTGTGCCTTCTGCTCTGTCTGGGATGAGACTATGAACTATGCAGATAACTGCAACTACTGGCATGGGAAATCCAACTGAGTGTTCCTCTTTCAGTTTGGGAACCTCCCCAGATGTTGTTCTCATACTTTCATGAATAGCTTTTGCAATCAGAAGGATTAAGAGTTGTATCAAGTATGCCCTTCCATGAAGAGACAAAAAAGTGGCAGACTTTTCTCTTGAATAAAGGGAGGAGAGGGTGATGGCCTCAATATCTCTCCTCCCCCTTACACTGCTCCAGAGAGGTTTGGCCTATCCAGATAGTATGAAAGTGGTGCTGGCAGCCACATGAGGAACTGGTCCAAATCTTTTCCTCCATGTTTCTCCTGAAAATTGTCCCATGAAGAGAACTCTGTTTGTGGGAAGTCTGGGTAACACACTACAAATGTTCTGAAAGCTTTACATGAAAGTGGAACACCTACCGAGTTCAATGCCCTAAACCAATCTTTGGGCCAAAGTGAGGGAATGTACACACATCTTGATTTAAGTATGTTCTTAAATATGTTTTTCTTGGTGTGTTATGTGGCAATACAGTTTAAAAATACCCACAGCATTCCCCACTGCATATGTAGCTCATGTGTTGTCAAGAACCATCATGCACACTGTAAAAAGCCCCAGCTTGCATGGCTGAGGTCATCATCCATGTAAGGAAACACCAACATATATATTGGAAATTCTGCATGCCTGATTCCAAGCACCTTCCCTTAATACTTCCTTTGGCTGGTTTGTGATTATATCACATTGAACAGATGCTACATATCTATTTCTGAAATATTACCTACAGATTAAAAGATGCAGGCTAATAGCCATGTACAGCTTCCAACACTCCAGTGGACTGAAATTTCCCTAGAGGTGCCAGTTTGTTATAACTAGGAGAGCTGAAAAACAGGTGGTGGGGGATGATGGGGAGACCCTGTTCTATATAGTTCTATGTTAAAAGCTATATAGAGTAAATAAGTCACTACTGTTAGTGGGCTGCTACAGTATTACCAAAGAGATACATAACAGAAACCACAAAAATTAGAGCAATTAGCCTCTGTACTAAATTAACACATCATCTATGTAGAATTCTGGCAGTGGCCCAAGTGAGGGCAATAATGGAGGACAGAGAAAGAACAAACTGTGGGAAAGAAAATAACGTCTGCTAGAGAGAGAGCGGTTTTGTCATCCCAGTATTTTTAGTTTCAAGCATTCTTTCAAAGTGCTATATTTATCCGATGGCGTTTGCAGAGTTTACATTCAGATATGGGACTTCCCCTGCAGCCTGAATGGAAGCCCTGAGAAATTATCTGTCTCATTTGCAGCTTTTCCTCTGATTCTCCTTTGCTTCAATACAAGCACTATACAAAAATAAAATTGTATTTGCATGCAATGATACATATTTGCAGTCACTTATGTACTTAGCGTGGCCTTGCTGTGAGATTCTACTTACTTAACTGGTCAATACCCTGTTGTTTAATGTTGTAAATTTCACTAAACTCACTGAATCAATGGGGATGTGGTGCGTCAACTCCTTCATAGGTTCAACTGATTCAGATGGGCCTACTTGAACTGCAACTTACTCAGTAGGTCAGTTACACCAGGCCCACTTCAGTCAATGGAGTCTACAGAAAATTTAACTCACCACATCCCTGTTGATTCAATGGACCTACTCTAGTGTAATTTGCTACACTAAGCAACAGGATTTCTGAAAAAGACAGCTGTTTGTATTTTTTTTTTCAAAATCACACTTACCACTCTGCTGAAATACTTGTCCAAAACCTCCACAAAATTATGAATCAGTTCATACACAGCCATTTCATTCTGAAATTCAATTGAGAACACATCAAAAGAAAAAAGTGAATAAGTCTGCTAATATTTGTATATTCCTTATACAGATTACAACCGTGATATATCTGAACATTTTAAATTCTTACCCTTTCACTCCAGAATCTTACTCTTTCTTTCTTTCTTTCCATTTCTCAGTTGATATATCAGCCAAATAAATGTAAAAGCTGGCATACTGCAAAAGTGCAGCATCATAAACCAAGATGTTACACTGAATGCCATGGCAGGAGGAGCTGCAAATTAATATGTTGGCACTGTTGATGTTATTTGCCATCAAGTTACCTCTGACTTATGGTGACCCAATTAATGAGCAATCTGCAAAATGTCATTTCCTCAAAAGCCCTGCTCAGCTCTTGCAAACTCAAATCTGTGTTTCCTTTAGGGAGTCAATCCTTCTAATATTTGGTCTTTGTCTTTTCCTGCTGCCTTCAACCTTTCCCAGCATTATTGCCTTTTGTAGAGAATCTTGCTTTCTCATTATGTGCCCAAAATAGGACAGCCTGTTTCAACATTTTTATCTCTGGAGATAGTTCAGGCTTGATTTGATCTAGGACTTACTTGCTTGTATTTCTAGAACTCTAGGGCCATGGTCCCCAACTTTTTGGGGACCATAGACCAGTTGGGGGGGGCGGGCTCCGTGCCTGTGGGGGTGTTGCGCTTGTGCCCGTGTGTGAGCACGACACGCCCCCACGTGAGTGTGACACCCCCTGCATGAGCACAACATACCCCTGCATGAGAGCAACACACCTACCATGCATGGGGGGGGGGGAGAGAGATCCTTCTCTGGAACCCAGTTTCGGCAAGCCTATGGATCGGCACTGGGCTGCGGACTGGGGGCTGGGGACCCCTGCTCTAGGGTATCCTCAAAGTTCTTCCCCAGCACATTTTAAACAAATACTGTAATTCTTTTTCCTCTCAGCTTTTTTCTACTATCCAACTTTCATATCCATACATGGTGAAAGGAAATATGAGACTGTGGATTATTTTGGTCAGGAACTCCAGCAACACATTCTTACATTTCATTATCTTTTCTAATTCCTTCATTAATGCCCTTCCGTGATTGGGTTCTGTGATAGATAGACAGCTCCTTTCTTTGAGTGGGAAATAACCAGGAAGAGTCTTTTTTAACATTACCAGATTTATTAACCATAACTTCTGGAGAATCAACAACAACTTCTATAGGCTCAAAACAACTCAATTCTGGTAGATGATCATAAGAATCAAATAATATTTTAAAGATAGAATTGTCCGGTTTTACTGCGGAGCTGAACCAAAATGTTCCTTGTCCGTTGGCTTCCATGGTGGCGCGCTCCTCACAGCACAGATTGTGCCACAACACGAGTGGCATGCCCAGTCCTCCTCAAGAGGTGGTTGATTGAAGGAGGCATCTGGCCGAATCACCCTCCTCCAGTGACCCTGCCCCCTTGGAAAGACTACTACTCGCCATTCTGAAGTCTCACTAACGGTCACTCTTTCCTTCTTTTGGGTAGGATCTGGCAGTAAACCTCCAACCTTTAGGCTCGGAAAATCTTGTAATAGAGCACGCGCTTCTTATATTCTCCTTCTCCTCCTCCTTTCATCTCCCCTCCCGGTACACTGAATACTCTCAACCCTTCCTTCTTCTTATTCTCCTCCCACACAGGCAAAGTTAAATCCTCCCCTTCTTTACCCTTTCCTTCCTCCACTAAACAGATTTCTACCTTCACTCCTTTCTCCTCATTTCCTTCAATAATTCACCCTTCTGTGTTCTCTTTCACTGATTCCTTTACTTGAGGAGATGGGGCACCCTCAGCTCCTCCCTCAAGATCTACTCTTCCTTTACACCTTCCGAATTTGATTTCTTGGCTGTGATCTCCATTTGGATGTATGATTGAACCAAGTTATACAACTGCATTTAACTATTTCAGTTTCTTCACATCGCTGGTATAGTTTCAAAAACTGAAGCTCACCCACAACCACCTGGATCCTTTTGGACAGTGTGCCCTGTGACCAGTAAGTTTGGTTGGATGTACCTCTCAGCATTCCTGGCTCAGCTTTTCCTCCCACCAGCTATTGTCACAGAATTTGTATTGATGATTATCATCTGGGAAAATATCAATAAGAGATTCTTTGTCCTGAGGTTCCTTCTGGTAACTTTCACTTTGTAACTTGGAAATATAATTCTGCTAGCTTTAGTCACCTCTATGCCAACTTAATGAAATATTTCTGTAACAATTTCTCATCCAGGCAGACCTTGATGTTTTCAATGGTCTGCTCAAGATCAAGAATGTGTGGGCTACCCAGAGATGTTCAGCTGACTCCTGCTACACCAAGAACCAGGGAACCTGTTGTAATCTTGGTATGGACAGGAGTCCAAGGTACAAACAAGCTTATGTCTTGTAGCACTTCTTACTCAGAAGTCAGATCCACCAATTTTAACTGTGCCTACCTAAGGTCTCCATCAGCTACTGAAGTGGCTCTGAAGAGTTCACTGGACATTAATGTGCATAAAATGCTAGTTTGTAAAGTGAGGCTTTTTGCATATCTGTTGTTTGATAGAAAATTAAGTTTGTTTTACTTGGGGTTCTTAACAAATTATGGCATCAGCTTCAATAGAACACAAACTATTTCACCAGGAGCGGGGACACTGAAAATGGTGAGGGGATGCATGGGGTGCCTTTTTATTATTCTAATTGTTTTATTTTTCGCTGTTGTTGCACTTTGTTCTAAGTTGTCACTTGGTTATTCTTTATACTTGCTCTTTTATAATGTTTGAATCTGTAATCCGCCCAGAGTGGCCTTAATAGCCAGATGGGTAGTATAAAAATCAAATAAAAACAAATAAAAAATGGAATGAACACATACCACAAATAAATCAAATAAGCTTAATGAGAAGCCATTAATCCTACAGATGTAGAAAGGTTCAAGCATACACACAAATCTTATAGGATGTTCAGTCTTCCCAACTTATATATGAGTGCATTCCAGAACATAAACAAAGTCTCTACTTGTAGATTCCTGCTCATGCTAACCCGTTTTTCTTGGATTTTGTGCAAGAAATGGACATTGTGACTTTACTGGAATTTGTCCCAGGTCTTAATGAACTCAGCTGTCATCCCTTCAAGACTTTAAGCCTAAAGAACCACGCTAGTCACTGGGCTTATTTTCTGGCATTGTACAACTAATTTATAATTATTTTTCCAGTCTAGTCCTATTTGCATAGGTTTTTGTTTTGGGCACTACAGGATAGCACAGCAGACTTGCCTAAGCTCTGACCCCTGCCACTGCAGGAGCACATTACAAATAGAAAAGAAAAAAACAGGGGCAAAAATGTATAACCATCCGCTTCTACCTTTCGTTTTTTTTACAGGATCATCTAGAAGGTAAGCCCCAAGCATCTGGCGGGGAGTGTTATCTGAGACAGGATGATGGAAGGGCATTTAACCTCAGATGGCTTGAGAGAAAATCCCTCAAGAGGTGAGTTCCCCTTGTCCTTATACATCAGAGGTGGGAAAGCTCTTAATGGATGAATTCTAACTTCTAAAAGGTCTTGGGGGGCATATTTGAGATGTGGGTGGGGCTAAGGACATGGGGGAGGCAAAGCAAAGTCGGAAAAGCTCAGTATAATTCTTATTAATTTGTACATTTTTCCATTAGGCATATAAAACACAGCTCAACTGTGCACATGTCTATTCAAGAACAGATTATAATGCAACACTTTTCTAGGCTCCTCCCAGAATTCAGCTCCTGGAAAAAGGTTTCTTGGTTACAATGCACAGCTCAAACCCAAGCAGCAACATCCTGGGCTTTAAACAGCCTGCTCCCTGTTATCCTCAATCACAAATCAAAGACAACAGAAGAAGATTGCTTCCAAAAGGCAGATGTTTTCCATCTCTTTTTATGCAAGGATGACAAGAAAGGGAAGATGAACAGTGTTTGAAGGGAAAGAGTGAAGAGCAGACAGAGAATCACACAAGAACATCAGAAAGAGAGCAAGGAAATAAGCATGCTCCTAGATCCAAGGTTATTTTTTCTTTACTTAAATAAATAAAAAGCAAGCGACCTACCTCAGTTTCATCAATTCCAACCACTACGAAAAGAGCAGCATATTGTCTATATACCAGCTTAAAATCTTTGTATTCAATGAAGGAACACTGAAGAAAGACACAAAGTAACATGCAAATATTAATATATGATACATAGATTTGCTCTAATATATTTGCCTATTGAATTAACTGGACTGTTTGTCTATTTTACCAAAATGTACATCTCTGGATAATTTTCAATGTACATAATCATGAATGTGATTAAGCTAGCAAGGTGATAAGAAATGAAGAATAACCCATTAGTATGCTGTATTTAGAGTTTATTTACCAGTTCCTAAATAGGCTTACAAATATGACAACTGGATGCAAGGATAAACTAAATGTTATTAAGAGCATTTCTAAAATCAGACACTGGCTGACAGAAAACTGCTTAAAACAATGAGATGCAGTAAAGATGACGGCGAGTGCAGTTTCCTTTTTTCTTCTATGTGGTCATCTCACAAAGCACACATCCTGTATTCATTGTTTGCAAATGGGCATCATGTCGGTGGCTGCCTTATCACATTTAGCTTCACTCTCAGCAGGACCTAACCTGACTCAAAAGTCCTATCAGATGCAAAAGCATTTAGGAGGTGCCTGAAAAGATGCCAGCGACAAAAATCCATCCCTACCCTGGGAAGCCTCAACTGAAACAAAAAGGACAGGTTTTGAACTACAAAGCTCTTCATTGTCTTGTTGAAATCAGAGTGACTTCCAACAGCCTTAGCAACAGTTTATACAGGAAAACTGGCTAATAATGGGGGCACCATACCCCAAATTTGGGCACAGGCACTCCACCTCCTTCAATCATGAGATGCCAATGGCTAGTAATAATTCTTTTAAAACAATAATGACTTTTTTGAGATTACATAGATCTATAAGCAGCAGAACAGTGCTAGTTAGAGTATTAGAATTTAAACTAAAGAACAGAAAACAGCAGTTGCAAAAAAAACACCTAAGTTGCAACCTCAAAATACTAATTTTCATAATATGTGAAGTACTGGGTTCAATTTCTTAAACATCAATTGCACAGGTATAAAAATATGACCCCTGGCTCTGGAACACACTCCCACACTCCCACACACTGGCCCCATCTTTGCTGTCCTTTCCTTTCAGGCAGGCTTTTCCTGAATGGTTTGAGAGGGGTTTTTAATAGATTGCTGTGCTCTGTTGCTTTAAATGTGTTTTAATATGGATTTTATCTACTGTTTTTAATATACTTGTTTAACTCTTTTTAAACATTTGTATACTTACTGTTTTTAGCTTTTAAATATTGTCTTTTTAATATTTTTAAATGACCTTAGGTCCTTTTAAAAGAGAAAGGCAGGATAAAAACATTTTAAATAAACAATAAATGAATAAACCAACTGCTCCTCCTTCTCTCTCTACCTAGATCATTTCTTCCAGTTTCTTTCTATCCAGATTCCTGTGAGGGGAAAAACTGTCTGGGAGGGAGGGGGATCACAAGCAGAGACTATAGTGGTGCCTCTCTATACGATGATAATCCGTTCCACCGAAATCGCTGTTTAGCGAAATCATTATCTAGCGAAAAGCATTTCCCCATTGGAATGCATTGAAACCTGTTTAATGCGTTCCAAAAGGGAAGTATCGTTGTTGTCTAGCAAAGATCGGTCACAGGAAAGCCACTTTGCGTACCGCAGATCAGCTTTTTAAATCGCTGTCTTGCGAAGCTTAGGTCCCGAAAACACCTGTTTGCGAGCGCGGTGGGAGCTGTCAAAATCATCATCTAGCAAAAATCAGTTTGCGAAGCAGGGACCAAACATTGTCCAGCGAAATTCCCCCATAGGAATCACTGTTTTGCGGATCACTATAGCGATCGCAAAAAGCCAATGTCTCGCGAAAAAACTGTCATGCGGGGTAACTGTCTAGCGAGGCACCACTCTAGATGATAGATTCATTGTCACATGTGTGTATACATCATTTACAATTTTAATCCCAGTTATAGTTACACACTCCTACATACTCTTAGTTTACCAGAGCTTGGAAAATGTTACTTTCTTGTACTACAACTCCTACAGGCCATGTTGGCTGGGGATTCCAGGAGTTGCAGTCCAAAAAGACTGGTATGTCCACTATTTATAAGTCTGACTCTAAAATATCTACAGTAGAAAAAAAAACATACTTGTTCCTTTGAACGGGAAAGGCAATGCTTGATTACTTCAGTCTCCAATATTGTTCGTTTATGAAGGCCCATGTATTCATAATAATGAGAGAGTCTTGTTTGGCCTTGCTTGTTCACCATTAAGAAAAACTTGATCATCTTTTGTTGTCTGCTCTATTTATCCTCCTGAGATTTCGAAACTGATGGGAAAGAAATCAGAAATACAAATTAGATGACACTGAACTGACTCAGGGAACAACTTTCTCAACTGAGAACTATGGGATCAGGCAAGTAAGGCGTCTGAATTCAAACAAGCCATCCTAAACAACTGCCTGGTAGATGATATGTAGCATTCTACAGGCTTGAGGTATTGTAAGAGAACATTAGGTACTTAATGCATAACTAGCATATAAATTATAGCAGATAGAAGCCCTCCCCATCCACCAAATTCCAGCAAGGAGATATGTTTAGCAAGTGTGTGGGAGGAAAACACATAGCCAGAGTTACTGTGGAAAAATGGTGTTCTGCAGATCGTCAAAATGCTAGAAAATAGAAAGAGGAGGATTTTTAATTTTTTGTTTTACATACTCAGAAATACAGCCATCCACTGAAACACACAGATGCAGAAAACAGAGACGAAGCCGTCATAACTCTTATGTACACAAAAACTTTTTAGGTCTACTTATTTAGTCAGGAATGGGAATTATGCAACCTCTGGACAGAGCTTGAAAATAATGACTGAAATCCTTTTGTACAAGTGTGTGCACATAAATCCTGATGATGTCATCAGCCCTTGAATATTAACCTTTACTTTAAAGTTTTCTATCCCTATCTCTCCCCGATGTGAGGCTCCCTAGGGATTCTTTTCAACTTGTGGAAACCTTTGGGAATCCTAGGATTGGGAAAGCCTTGAATTCCTAAAAATCTCAACAACAGTACCAGAAGAAGTGAGTTTCAGACATTAAAGGTGTCCCCTTCCAAGTTTTGATGCTCCCAGAGGCTTTCCTGGTTGAAGAGGTACCCTGATGGGGGAAGATAGAAAACTTTAACACAAAGATGGATGTCCATGGCTGATGGTGCCATCAGAATTTACAAATGTACAGTTACACAACAGGATTTCAGCTAATGTGTTAATTTTAACTAATTGAAAAATAACACTTTATTTTCAAGCTCTTCCCATACAGTTTGACTCTAAAATACTCTATGCTTTTTGGCCCATCAAGCCAAACGTCATGAATAAACACAGTGGTATAAAACCAATAACTTTAAAGTAAGATTAATATGATTTTTCAGTTGTTAAATTTGTTTCCTTACTTCTATGCTTTCTGTAGCAGACATATATGTTTTCGCACTTTCCACATCTTCGATGAAGAATTGGTTCAGAAGGAAAGATTCCCACACTTAGGTGCCAGTGGTTTAGGACTACAATTCCCATCTCAATCAAAAGTAAAATCTTTTGGGAACTGCAGTTCAATCTTGGGAACCTCAGAGTAATAACTCATTAACCACTTTCCCACAGACCTATATAGTGCATTGCTATAGAAACTGCTATAGAAAGTAAAGTGAATGGGTGCAGATGGAAATCTCACCTCCTCTTCTGCATATTTATCTGTGATAACAGCAACCAATTTCCCAGCACATGCATTCCCTCCACATGAAAATTACACAAATTGAAAACTAGCAATCCTGCTCCCTTGAGCTGCAGAATACATCACACTGCAGCTGGTCTTTCATCTACTGGCTCGAGACAAGGGTCAGATATTTCATCTGGTCCTTGAGTCCCTCCACCTCTTGGCTTGGAGTCTTCCCCATCTGTAACAGACATGCTCAATCATGCTCGCAAACCTTCTACCACCTTGACCTACTCTTATAATGGGTAAGCATTCTGCCACTTTGCATCAAGATGACATTTGCCTACTAGGCCAATCCCTGGACAGATTCCTTCAGTTTCTCCTTCACCTGTTTTGCCTGGGACTGGCCCGTTCTACCTGCAAGCTATTTCTCCGAGGCCTGGAGAATATGCGCCCTGCCTATAGCCCATGGCCTCAAGCCCTTGGCGTCAGCATCGCTCCGCTTGCTAAACCTCAAAACTGCCTTTCTCATGGCGGTAACCTTAGCTTGCAGGGCTGGAGGGCTGGCTACACTAAGAGCAGGTACTCCTTTCTGCAAAGTAACCCTACGGCCAGACCTTACCTTCTTGCTTAATGTATTTTCTGCCTTCAATTTGAACCAGCCAGCTGTCCTTCCTGTCTTCTTTCCCACACCATCTTCACCGCTTGAGACAGCTCTGGGCGGTCTAGACATGAAGCATGCTCTGTCATATTATGTGCATCGCACAACCACTTTTCGTGCCTCAGAACATCGCTTCGTCACCTTTGCCGGCTCTTCCTTCGGAGCACCGACTTCCTCTCAGACTATCTCTAGATGGATAGTCCAGACCATTCATCTTCCCTATGATTTGGCACAGACTCCTCTTCCAGTGAGAGGGATTTGGCACAGACTCCTCTTCCAGTGAGATGAATCTGTGAGAGCTCACTCTACTAGATCTGTAGCATCCTCAACTGCCTTTATCCGTGGACATTGTGGATGTCTGCCACGCTGCCACATTTGCCACTCCGTCTACCTTCATCTTGCACTACCGCCTGGATGTCTGGCCCAAGGCTGAGGTTTTGGTAGGTCAAGCTGTCCTGGCTTCTACACTTTTGTGACGTCCCTCCTCCTGGTTAGTCAGCTTGCCAGTCACCCATTAGTGTGTATTCACAGAGACCACAAAGGAGAATGAAGTTACTTACCTCTAACTCTGGTTCAAGTGGTCCTCTGTGAATTCACTTGTCCCCCCCCTCCTCCCCACTGTCCGTCACATGTGCCATGGAATGCTGGGCAGTGGCGGTTAGTTCCTTAAAACTGAGGCATTGGGTGCAAGGGGCAGGGTTATAGCCAGGTGTAGGGGAGGTCCCAGCACTAAGTGCTTAAAGCTGTGAAAGTTTCTGAGAAAGCTCTGCTCGAGCTAGGGGAGGTCCCAGCACTAAGTGCTTAAATCTGTGAATGTTTCTGAGAAAGCTCTGCTCGAGTGCAGATTAACTCATTAGCGTGAATTCATAGAGGATCACTCGATGAACCAGAGTTACAGGTAAGTAATTTTTCTTTCTCCTTGAGCCCTCAAGAAATACTAACTGTGGTTGATTAACAGAATCACATTATCCCACCTATTTCGACAAGTAAATTCATCTTCATTCTTGAAGTTGGTCTGAATTTCTTTTTAAATGTCTTAAATATTTGTATTTTCAAATTTGCTACCTAACTAACAAGCAAGTTAAAAATGTAACTACAGTGATGCTCACAAGACTAATGCCTCTCACAATGAAAAACCTGCAAGTGTTTTGTGATTTTTTTAGTGACTCACAAGCCAAATTTTTATATGGCCATGCTTCACAAGACGAATAGGAACGCATTAATTACATTTCGATGCATTCCTATGGGAAACCGTGCTTCACAAGATGAAATTTTTGCAATACGAAACGATACGCGGAACGAATTATTTTCATCTTGCATCACTGTATAATTACTTAAGTCTGGCAGAAAGAAATGTTACCTATACTTAAGCGATGCAAAGGATTCTACATATTTTAGAAACAAAGAATTTTAACCTGAAATTCTTCGTTCCAGACCAAGTAGAACTAACATATTGCAATTTCTGTTATTGTGTACTGATGTTTTAATATACAGAGCATACAAAATTGTCATAGTCAAATATGGACTGAGGGGAAACATGGAGTAATTTTAGTGCAGTTTTAATTAAAATGACATGCTTGAATGGAATGCTTTATCAGAGAGTCTGATTAGATGTCTTCTGCTAGCAGTTACATTTTGTTTCATCCACGCTACACAGAAACATTTTTGGACCAGACTTTTCAGATATAAATAATAATCTAAATCTATAAACTTGCAGAGGTGACTTGCACTGCTGTGACTCATAATTATGCCAAGAAAATATGATTAAGAGCATTTATTTGGGAATAACATTATCTAGGGATAATATTCTACCAGTATTTTAGTACAGTATAAAACCCAATTCACACATTTCTGTATAGCTTTTGGTGGCTTATCACCTAATGACCTGTAGATGAGTTGAGTACATTAAACATTATTACTTCTGAAATAATCACTGCTGATATAAAAACTTGGAGTTTTATTTGTGATGGTTGTTTCACATAAAGAAATCATGACCTGATACTACAGCCATTGAGTAACGTGCATAATGATCCTGCAATGCAGAGCATGAAATATTTCTAATAGTAATCTAAATTTCATAGGAAATGAAATGTATCACATTTTGCTGTTGCTATTAGCCCACCAGAAAAAAACTGAAGGAAATCTTCTCTGGTACTCCCTAGTAGTTAGTCCTGATATTCACTTTGCATATATTTATAAAACACTGAAGACAGAATAACTATTTTCCTTGTCACTTAGGTTTAACAAGAGAATAGTGTATAAAACTAGAAAATTATCTTAACAGATAAGTTTGGAAAAAAGGTAATATTCATTACTCCTAATACACCTAAGTGTTACTTACTACATCTGAGTATCCTAAATGTTAATTATCACAAGTAAAAAAGAACTGTATAACCCCTAGCGTTCCAAGAAACTGGTCACCCAAAAGAATCTAGTTGCAGGTAACTATACTGTTTATAATTAGTTACATCCTGAGGATGAACTTCAGCATTGACACGGAGGAGAAATTGTGCTTCCGTGCCAGCGATAAGTGAATTGGGATATTTATTTTCTTTATTTATATTATTTATATATGATAACAAATTGGAAATACAAAAAAATTAATCCAATACCTCCCCAAAATATTTACACAAAATAAAACAGATTGTTAAATACACACCATAAAGGAGGAGATATATAATAAACATGCAAAGTCACACTATGAATGCCACCCTTCCACATTTGTCTCCTTTAGTAGTATTTAAGAAATGAAAAAAAGCATTAAGGTAAATCATAAAGTCCCAAAACAATAAATTGGATACCAGACAAGAAATTAGGTAACAAAAACTGTATTCACATCAACATGCTATTTCAAAAACTACATTTTTAAAATGCTCACCCTTAATGCAAATCTTTTTCTTTTTATGCTTGTGCCCCAATGCCAAAACCTTTCAGATAATCTGGTGAACTACAACCCTCCTTCACAGGCTTACACTACTGTGCAATTAAAAATAACATACTTATCCCAAAATATTCCTACTTAGCAAAATGTATTGATTTAATTGAGACCTGCTCCTGAGAAGATATACTGTATATAGGACTGAAGCCAGAGATTCTGAAAACTGCAACTGAAAGTGATATTTTAATATACAGCTGTTTAGAACCGGACCACCCACCCCTCAAATAATTAAAAATCTTTGTATGAATTGTATGTGCCAAAAACAACTACAAAGCATAAACAGTTGATTAACACACATATACAGAAATCCTCTGAACCATGTCAGCCTCCCAGCATAAGCCAGCACCCTCCCTGGCTAAAACATGAAGCTTTCATACCAGAAGATGGGGGCCAGCCAACCCACTGCCATTGGACCAGGAGCTGCAAAACCATCAACAAAAGGGGTCTCAGTAAGCCCAAGACCCACTTTTCTCAAGTCACTTCTGGGAGACAAATAGCAGGACAGTATTTACCAAATATTTATTTAGTTATTTATTTAAATATTTTTAAAATATTTATTTATTTTAATTATTGAAAATAATCCATGCATAAATAGAACCATGCTATGCAAACCTTTGCAGTTCAAGGAAGAAAGGTGTATGTGTGTATAATTTCTTTAACATAATAAAACTTAAACTTTCATCTACATGTTTGGGCACATACAATAATAAGAGTAGACAGAAGCAGAAGAAATAATTTCTTTACATCAATATAACCCTACTGGCTAAACTGAAAGAAACAATGTCCAAGCAAATAACTTACTCTTGCACTTCATGCAGTATTTGCATTATACACAGTAACTATGGTTACCACAGTATGAATCACTGCCAGCACTATTTTGAAGTCTTATGCATTCAATCATTTGTCTAATGTCTGATTTTACTTATAAGAGGAAGCTGGATTTCTTCACGCATGAATCATTGCCAACATTCAAACTATATGCAGTACTGTACTTATTTATAGAGCCATGTACATTGATTATGCTATTTAAATAAATGATGATAAATAATAATACTTTATACATAAAGACAGTATATTCTAAACAAATGAAAAACTCAAATCAATCCTAATAAGGAAATTGCTCAGAGTATTATAGGGATGTTATAGAATACAGCTCTTCCTCCTAATGACTCAATAATTCAACTGCTAAGTCCGAAAAATCTTCTGAAAATCTCACAAAGCAGGTTGTTGCCATTGCTGATGGGTTTAGCTATAAAATTTCTGAGGCATATAAGTGATTGATAGGAAAGAGCACTCCAAAGCTTTAGAGACAGAACTAAAAATAAATATAAATAATTGACAACTAAGTCTTTTTAACATATTGGGATGTCAGTTTTTGGTATGTTTATTTCTGTTGCTTTCTCCACAAGAATTAATGAATCTAGAATATATATATCAGCATTTAGTTTAGTATTCATAACCACACTTTAGAGTTAGAGAGGAGACAGGAAGAGAGTCCAGAGTGCCTAAAATGGACAGCTACACGGTTTGTTCGTTATAGAGGTGAAATGTGTAGCCCCAGGATTTGAACATGATTCATGTAGCAGTGAAACCTGACACTTATTTACTATATCCAGTGGCTTGCAGCTGGGAAGAGTTTTCTGGAAACAAGGCTGGCCACTGCTTTCCACATATGCTACTCTTATATCTGGAAGTGACAGATACTAGTAGATCATAATATGTGATACTGACCTCTGAAATCTATTTTCAGCAGAACAGTTGGTCAAGGGAACATGTATTCAAAAAGTTGTGTAGACCACTCAGTATGGACAAAGGCAATGAGTGTCAAACTACCTCCAGGCTAGAAATTATTACTTCTAGAAAGGTCTGAACCTCACCATCTATATCTGCATTGTACTTGGTACACAGTCTCTGGACACACATCTCGTGGTGGTTGTTATTGCTGCTATTGGCCACACTTCCACTGTGTAATGACCTAAATCTTTTTATCACCATTAATAACACTAATATGACAATATCCTATGGAAATAAGTTCTGTTAATTATGTATCATGTAAGTACTTCCTTTTATTTGTCCTGAATTCTTCTATCAATTTAAATTAATTACTGTGTTGATACTTTGAGAGTTTTTTTAATTTGTTCATTATGTGATAAAAATATGCAAAATACAGATATCTTCATTTGGGAACTGACTAGCTACAGTTTCAAGCGCAAATTAAATGTATAATGAAAGAAACTGCCCTTACTTTCACTGATTTAGCCATAGTTTAGAACTTAAGATCTACAGCGATATTGATTCAGTTTTTGGACTTCATGAAAGTTCTATCTTTATTTTACAGAAAATAAATAATAAAAGCAAGAGCTAGTTAACATAGTATGATGCATTCCACATTAACCACCTCTGGTGATCTAGAGTGGATTACTACTCTTAGTAATGAATTTTCATAAAAAGAAAAATATTTCTCATCTGAAATCACCATTCTCTGTTCAACCAGTTTTGCAGTGTTTTCTGAGGTGTTCTTTCTTTTTTTTCAGATATAATCTGACATTTTAACATTAAAAACAGGCAGTGCTTGTCTGTTTAGTGTCAACTGGCAAGGTGCTGCTAAGACTTTTCAGTCTATTGTGCCTTTAACTAGAACTTTACTCTCATAAGTAATGCTCAAGAGGTACAGTTTGGGTTTGTTGAAGTAGAACTTGTCTGCACATTTTTCTTTCATGATCTGTTGCTGATGTGAGTAGCTCCTGAGTAGCAGTGGAGTGTTGTCTGCCAGCACCCCCCATCAAGGGTCAAAGAGAAAGAAGGTTTCTGTCTGAGTGGTGTAATTTGTGCAGCAGCAATGGCACAGTGCTCCCTTGTAGTCTCCTAAGGTCACAGGCTGACTGGTTTTGACATGGGGGTAGTTTATTGTCTAGCATGGAGAGGTGTCATGGTCCCAACCGAAGGGACAATGGCCCTGGGGATAGCTGTAGAGGTGCTTGTGTTTTACAATCAGTGTACGGTTGATTGCCTGTGTGTGCACTTTTTAAATTGCATTTTGTGTGTTTTGACCATGTAGTGTGTTTTATGGATTGGCTATACACTTTTGAACTGCATTTTTGTATTTTGGCCACATGGTATGTTTTGTGAATTGTTTGCATATTTTTTAACTGTATTTTGTATGTTTTAGCCATGGATATGTTTCGTGAGCTGGTCACCTGACCGTAATAAGTAAGTTCTATTCTATTATATTCTGAGTAGTGTAAAGTGAAAATTTGTTTTATTACTTTTGTGGCTGGGTCTGCAAGAGTAGGTGGCTTTTTAGCATGGCTTCTTCTCTGTTTTAATTAACAAGGCAAGTATTAAATGTTAAGAATGACTCATATAAGGTAATTTTAAAGAACAGAGCAGAAGAGATCATGATGTAAGAAGTGGTTGTATCCAAAACATTTCAATTAAGTTAAAGGCCCAATATTTTTAATCAAAATTTATTTTGGAGTAAGAAGTATTTTTCAATGAGACATTCTCATGCTCAAGTGTGCAGGGTACGAAAGGACACTTCAGTTCCTTTATTTAAAGGAAACCTGTTATGTTGAACTGTATCAGCACACCTCCCATATATAGTTCATATATTAGAATATTTCTTTTAAGAAAGGTTACAGACAGTTTAATCAAGACTAAAGAAGGCATGTTCCCTTGTGCTCTGAGTAAGCATGTCTCAGCGAGGGAATTTTTCACTGCTTCCCTCAAGGGATCAGAAAGCTCTTCCTCCTTTTGCAGAGAAAGGTTAACCTCTCTTAATTTAATCTCATACTCACAGTAGTAATTTGATACTAGGCTGCTGGCTACCCATACTCCAATTTCTATTTGCTGTCTTGCTGGTTTCGGTGACAGTGTAATAATACCATCAGCGGGGAAAACAGAACATGCTTAATGCCCTGGGAGAGTGTGTGTGCATGGGGGACATATGTAGCAGGGGAAATAGTCTACTTGTCCATCTCAAGAAGCTGGCTGTAGCCATGCAAAGAATGCAACTGCAATGCCAAGAATCTTTTGTTGGCACAAATCATCAAGAGGAGACCGTTTCAAGCAAGCTGAAGCTGCAGGGAAGATTAGCAGCCTACGGAAAAGCTATAAACTGGGAAGAAATTAGTCTGATAGTCTTTGGAAGTGGATTGGGGCATGGGTGGTCCTCTTCAGCAGTCTTTTAAAAAGATAGTCCCACTGCAAAGAATAGTTTTCAAAAATAAGGAACAGATATAGTGTAGCTGTGTCAAGTGCCAGTTTGAACTTCTAGGAGGAGTTTACAGATTAACAGCACGTATTATTGCCATTTGTGTCACTTTTCTGAAAGTAGAACTTGTAACATGGTAACAGGAGGATTTCCTCCTCAAGAAGAAAGGCAGCTGTACATAGACCCTAACTATCAACAAATACACTAATTAGTGGTGCAATGCACTGGCTCAAATACAAATTAGAAACCACCTGATTTTAATTGCTCCTCTGATATCTGCGACTGACCTACCTTACAGGAACAATTACAGATCAATACAGTACATAAAATATTTTGACTATCTGGGACCACTTTACAAGTGTTCTTTTCCGTACACCGTTAACAGACTATTCGTACTATTAAATATTACTAAGATTCCTACTAAAACAAGCAACGACCAAAAACGAGGGGATGTTTCTGCAGGGTGCTATGTCTCTAGAGGGTATTTTACTCACAGGAGATTACTACTCGTTTAAGACGGGTGAAGTATCAGGCGCTGTACAGATGGGAAGCAGTCACTATCCAAACCATAAATGGACAGTAGACTTGAAAAGCACAAGCCAGTAGTGGCCAGACTGCTTGAAAGCGAATAACCCGACGGGAAACAGGAGAGACTGTGACCGGTGGAAGGAAACTTGAAAGATAACAAACCCACCCAGAGATCCCACAAACCTCTCCCTTCCTCTCCTCTCCGTTCCCTTCAGACAAGGGCGGCGCGTGCGCGCTGCAAGGCAGCGATGGTGCCAGAGCAAGGCGGGTGCTGTTTCCCAGCATGCTCCGCGTCTTCTCCCCCCCCTCCCTCCCGGTGTGGGCTGGCGAGCTGAGTGAATCTGCCCGGCCGATGATGGAGCTGAGAGTGTAATGGCGGCCGGCGGCAGTGGCGGCGGCGGCTCGGCTTCCGTGCTGCTCTGACACCCGCCTACTCCTCCGCTTGGCCTTGGCCCTCCTTCCGGGGCCGGTCCCACCTTGCACGCCAGCGCCGCTCGGGAGTCAGGAACACACGCCAGGCGGGAAGGGGGAAGGACTCCCCACAGACAATGGACGAACATCCCGGCGTCGGCGGGGGGATCATGGCGGGGGCCGCCCCGAGAGCTCCACAGCAGCCGCTGCCACCCGCCGGCGCGTGGTGCCCCCCCCACCCCCCCCCCCCGCCGCCGCCACAAGGCCCGGCGGCTCAGGAAGCGGTGGGCCCCGGGAGCGGCTCGGAGCTGTCCCGGCCTCAACACTACACCATCCCGGGGATCCTGCACTACATCCAGCACGAGTGGGCTCGCTTCGAGATGGAGCGCGCCCACTGGGAAGTGGAAAGGGCCGAGCTCCAGGTAAGGGCCGAGGCGCCCGCTGGTGAGGCGAGAGCGGGTGGCCTTGGCTGGGCGAGGGCCGCGGCGGGGGGAAGAGAGACACAATGAGGGAGCGACGGGCCGGTGCCGGGTTGGAAGGGGAGGTCGGAGGAGGAGGAGGCAGCCGCCGCCGCCGCCGCCGCCGCTTTGGGCGGTGATGTGGGAACCGTGGTGGGTACCGTTGGGCAAAGTGGGTGGGCAGGTGTGGGGCAGAGGAGGGGAGGGCAAAATACCTGCGTGTGGCGGGTCCGGCGAGAGGCGCGGCGGGCGTCACTCGGCACAGCCCCTCACGGCTCCTCGGGTTGGGCCGCTTTCCCCGGGGCAGCCATTTTGGTATCTAGCATGGCGCCCGCCTTGCTTGGGCCTGTCAAACTTATTGGGGAAGAGGAGGGTTGCCGTCTGGCCGCCGCCGCCGCCGCCCACCCTCCGGATCCCCGGATTTGAAGCACCGTCTCTGGGTCTCGAGGGCAGGGCGGGAGCCTTGACATTGACCGGCTCTCAGGCGGCAGCGTTTGCAACTGTGGCTTTGGAGCCCACCGGACATATCGGAGGCTTTGAAGACAAAAGTCATACCTAGTGAGGGCACAATGAGGGAACTGTGCGTAACACCCGAAGATACGCTCAGCTGCCACTTTGGGCATGTGAATCACGCGCATCCTTCTTGTCTGTCCGGATCAAGGGACCCGCCTTCTTTCCACCGGCATAGGAGGCGTGTTATCCCCTTTCTGTTCCGTTTCAGTACTCAAATGAATGGCCTTGTTACCTAAAAAAGAAAGTGGGGGGCACAAGATGACTTGATAAATGCAGCGAATTGATTATTTCATGCACTGTGATTTTGTTTATATGTGTGAAATAAAAAGTAGCAGCAGATCAGAATTATGTGTATCTCATCTGGGGATCAAGGATTGTCCAAAATCTCCCTCCTTGAGCGTGTACAGTACAGTACAGTACTAGGTGGTTATCCTAGTTTGCCACTGCCTGGGCACTCAAAGTTCGATCCTTAGGTGTAAAAGTATATTTGCTTAACAGATGGTATCCCATTGTTTATTGGGGCATATGTACGTATAGCTAATGGGGTTGTGCTATAAGGTTATCACGTGTTTTAAAAATACAAATCTGCCTTTTGTGAATACAGTGATTGGTTTTCAAGGAAGTAAAAATTTATACTTCAGAAACCCGAAGGGATGTGTGCTAACCTGTCTAAATTCATGTAATCTGTCTCTCTAAGGTTGTGTGTAGGGGTAGAGCATAGTGGTGATATACCTTAACAATTGTCTTCCAAAAGTTTTATAGCCTGAAATGAAGAGTGCTTTTTTGATGTAGTGCAGTGTTACTGATGACGGGTCTCGGTGATTTCTAAGTGATGCTGTGGGCAGATTAATTTTTTAAGAGAAAGTTAACTTTTGGCATCTTGATTTGTGAGATTATCTGTACCAACTTTTGCATCTAGAATCAAATATTTAAAATGTAAGATCCATTGAGATCTAATTCTGACCTTTCTTAATTGAGCCATTAAAATCTGTTAGGTTCAAAGTATAAAAAATGAAAAACACAGAGCATTAGAGAAATAGAACCTTACTACAGTATATGGAGTCAAGGAAAGTGATATGTCAAATATCCCACCATATTTGAAGCCCTTCCCAGCAGTGTGTTTTTCTCAGTTTCCTTCCTGTTGACTACAGTGGCCTTCAGACATAGCTGTATGGTCCACTTATAAGGCCCTATGGGAATCCTGTGGGCTTTGGGTCTAGTCTGTCCAAGATTGCCTCTACTCTGCTGCAGTACATCCTCTTTGGAGACCAGCTGTAGCCTTGTGTCAGTGGAAGTCTGTAGTTTTTCAGGGTTTTTTGTAGTGTCAGAAGAGGAGTACTTTTGCCATATCTTCCCCCTTCCCACAATAGGCATTTAAGGAATTAAGATTTCACTGTCCTTTCCTCTTTGACAACATGCATGTTACCAGGTCACTGCAGGACTGTTTCCCAATATTTTAAAGTTGTACACTCTAGCTTTCTATTCTTTTAGTTCTTTATAGTTTCCCAATAAGTTTTCTTTAGCTTCAACATGGTTTTTGGTGTTTTAGGAAATCCTATATCTGACTTTTTGTCCTCTTAAAGGATTAAGGCAGTACAGTATTTCAGATGGGTCTAATGATCTGACATGGAGAAAGAAATCAGTGGCAGCCTAAAACTGCTTTCCTTTTGTGATATCTGAGTATGTTTTTAAATCAGAAGCTTAGTGTTCTTCTTGTGGCTAAAGTAACAGTATCATTACCTGTTGGTAATGGCACAACAAAGTTATGCCATTACTGGGATCACAAGACTCTGCTGAGCTGTCTTCATCTTTCGAACTGTAGCTTGCCTGGTTTAAAGAAGCATAAGTTTGAATAAGTATTGAAACACAGGGAGATGGCTTCTGGTAGTATAAATTCTGTAGAGCTCCCCTGCCCCCTGGCTTGGGTTGTTTTATCTATGTCCAGATTAGCTGAGAAACATAGGACAGAGAATCAAAACACATGAGGTTAGAGCAAGCATTTCTTAAAAAGCAGTACCCATTTGATACAATAGTTTGTCCTTTGTTTTCAGATATGACCATCTCCATCAGATACATAATTTATGGTAAAAAAGAAGTAAATGGTTAAGTTTTAGTAGTAATATATTGATGAGAATGCAGGTGATTAACTAACCTGATGTGAGCCCAGAAGGTGCAGAGATAATAGGAAAAGATTAGTTGATCCTGGGTTTTGACATGTTTGTTGATCCACTCAGCATGGTAAAAAAGGAATTTGACAAAACCAGACTGGTTCCAAGAAACTGCCTGATACATGACAGACAGGATAGAGGGAGTGACAACATACCATTACCAGTTACCTGCAAATCTCAGTTGAGACTACTAAGTAGCCTGCAGCTTGTTCTGGATAGCAATGCTTAGCTCTCCCAGGATTAGCAATGACAGTCCATACTGGCTTACAGACACCTCAAACATATACCGACATGCAATAGGCAACACATTATGGAGAGGGAGAGAGGAACAACACAATGTCACAAATCTAGATGCTAGTTGTGCCTCCTGTATGTACGCTAGCAGAACCATCACAGGTCCCCACATCATTAGGTGTTTGCTTATTTTTTTCATCTTATAATAGGATCTGAGGCATTTGTCAGCTGCTTTCCTCTGTTTTCTACATGGGACAATCTCTACTCAAAAGAATGAAAGGTCACAAATCTGACATCAGGAAATGTGACAGAAACCAGTTTCAGAACACTTCAGTCTCCTAGGATGCTCTGTTATGGGTCTCAAAGAAGAAAAAATGTTGTAGGAAAAAGGAACTACCAAGGGAGCCTTCAGAGAAGGACAGCAGAAATTGGCTACTTAATCAAGTTCCAGTAGATCTCTTATATCAGGGGTATCAAACTGAATTCACCTGGGGGCTGCTGGAGGCAGAGTCTGGGTGAGGCAGGGCCGCATTAAGATTTTCCACCAAGCAGAGCAAGAGCCCAAGGAAGCTGCCCAGGAGTTTCCTTAGCCTGGCTGGGGCTCCAAGGAGGAGGAGGGGCGCATGAGCCCTCGTCGTTGGCCACGACCCCCTCCAGCTCCTTCTTCACTACTACCACCACCACCAGCAACAGCAGGATGAAGAAGCAGAGAAGGGAGGGAGCGCTGGCGACCGCCTAGCTGGGGGGTGGGGAGGAGGGCTCGACATAAAATTTTAAAAAAAACCTCACAGAATTCTCCTTGCCAAAGGAGAAAAGCTCCCACCGGTACCTGTGAAATTAAACAGAACAGGGCGGGGGCCCCACAGGTCCATGCATGCATGCATGCATGCATGCATGCACACAAACACACACACAAACACACACATGGAGGTCCAGCGACCTGCCTCTGAGGGCCCCCTCAAAAAAAAAGGCGCACTCAGCAGCAGCAGCTACCCCCACCACAACAGAGGAGCAAACTTTGCAAGGCAAGTCTAGGCAGCCTCCAGAGCCGAGGCAGCTGAAGCAGGACGAAGAAGAGGAGGAAGAGGAAGCACTGCTAGGCACTGAGACGGCCGCTGGCCGGGCTGGTGCTGGGGGTGTCAAGAGAGAAAGAGAGCCAGAGAGCCACTTCCCTGGAAGAGGCAGTGGCAGCTGCTGTTGGCAGTGCTGTTGGAGATGCTCTTTGAGGACGGGCTGGGAGCGAGCTCCGCTCTCAGGTGTCACTCGGTGGCAGCTCAGGGAAAAGGGCCAGCAGAGAACGGCAGCCTGCCAGCCAGCAGACAGGCGGGCTGGCTGGCAGGCTGCATTTCTGGATGGAGGGTGCAGGAGGCACTGTCTTGGGAGACAGCCGGTGAGCGAGGCAATGCCTTTTTTGACTCTTGACAACAGAGAACGCGTGGGCGCTTTGGGGGGGCAGGCAAGGCGGGGGCCACAAACTATCATCTGGTGGGCCGCAAATGGCCCCCGGGCCACATGTTTGAGACCCCTGTCTTATATATATGTGTTCAAAATAGTTGTCTCCTTTGCTGAGTGGATAAAAATAAATAATTTGTAAAAATCAATTTAAATTAAAAATTAATTTTTAAAAATTAAATTGTAAAAAAATGATTTTTGTTTAAAAAAATCATGATTTAAATCCACCCTGTGTCCCTTGACAAACTATGACTTCA